AAAAAAAAAAAAAATACCTTTTGAGAGAACAAATTTATAAAATGGCCAGCTGGGGGCTGGCAGGTGGAGTGGTGGTTGAGGCTCTGAATTTCTATATGGCCGACCATGGTTTGGGTCCCGGGCCTGCAGTCTGCTTTCTCATTCTCCCTCTCTCTCTTTCTGGTCAAATCGAAGAATAATGATAATAAATTAAATTAAATTAATCATAAAAAAATGGCTAGCTGGTCCCCAAGGTATAGGGTAAGAAGGCTGTGCACAAGTGAAGACGACAGTGTCCTAGAGTCATTGAATTCACACTGTGGGAAAGCAGTGAGAGGCCCAAAGTGGAACCTGACATGAGCAAATGGCAGAGTTGTTGATGTTGTTTTCAAAAGAAAGTTAGGAAGAGAGAGCACCACTATTTGTTGTTGTTGCTTTCATCTCTCTCTCTTTTATTTTTTTTTTTGGAGAGATTTTTTTTTTTGCCATAGGGTGTGTGCGCTCGCCAGAAAGACAGAGAGAGACAGAGAGACAGAAAGCAGGAAATCACCCCCCAGGGGGGATGGCCACACTGCAATCCCATCTCCTCCATTCTCCTCTCGGCGCACACGCGCCCGGCGTGAGTTTAAGCCACGGGGTCCAGGACTCAAACCGCAGTCAACTACGTGGGAGTCCAGCGACATAGCCATTACGCTAACTGTTGGTCCCAGCTTTCATCTCTTTTTGACATGACAGAGTTTGTATGTTCATGAGAGAAAGCAAGCGAGAGAGAGAGAGAGACAGAGAAAGATCCTCAGTAGGGTCTCACCGTGCTGTGGTTCCCCTTCCCTAGCCCTCCAGCTCCTCGGGATCCTAGATGCCTGCATGCGTATCTTCAAACTGACCTGGAGATCCAAACTTGGGGATTGCCATGTGGCTTCCAGCCTCCCAGGGCACTGCATTATGGCTGTGCTACAGTAGCTGTACCCTCTATGTTTCTAAGATTACTTTGAAATACAAGAAGCTACTCTAGAATTAGACAAAAGAAGAGAAGATGGGAGTTGAAGAAGAATTGGAAGTTGAAAGAATAATGTTAATAAGCTCTTCCTAAGAAGTGAATATGTATAGGATACTATAATCGCAAATATACCTAAGAGCAAAAGCTACAGAAAGACAAATCATTAAGCGGTTTCAAAAGGAGGGCGAAAAGCTAGAGGGGTAAGGTAGTTCTAGGAATCAATAATCAAGACATACGTGCAAAGTGCTGCCTCCAAAACAGACGCTTGAAAATAAACACTTAAGGTCCAGTAGGGGATGTGATGGTTACAGTGGCTAGATCCCATGTGACCAACTGCACTGGGTCCAGACCCAGTGGCTTAAAAAACACGCCAGGCACATGTGCATGCGTGCCCAATATCCTGAGAGAAGAATGGAGAAGGGATTGCGGCATGGTCCTGGGGGTGCTTTCTCACTTTCTCTCTCCGCCCCCCTTTGTCTCTCTCTGACAAGCACACACACCCTAAGGTAAACTAAAATATAAATAAATAAACACTTAAAATGCTAAATCTCATTCTTAAATACTGAAGAACAATGGGTAAATGATAATATGGCCACCGACACTAGCTTCTTACTTCCTTTAACGAGCAGTACAGTGGGGCAGAAGGTTCTCTTTTGGCTGACGAATAGCCTTTTATTTTAAAGAATTATGTATTTAATCTTATTTATTTTTTTAACGAATTATTTAACTTTATTTATTTATTTAAATCTGACCCAAGTAAGTGAGAGAGAGAGAGAAAGAGCAAGAAAGCAAGCTGCCAGGTCTAGGACTCGAACCATGGTCAACCATGTGGGAGTCCAGTACTCTTAACCACTATGCCACCTGTTGGCCCCACATTATTATTATTTTTAAACCTGATACAGACACTCACCAGAGAGAGACAGAGAGAGGGAAAGTGAGAAAGCAAGCCACCAGGTCCAGGACTTGAATGCCAGTTGGCCATGTGGGAGTCAGTGCCCCAACGATCATACTATCTGCTGGCCCTGACAAATAGAATTTTAAAGTAATGGGATTCTAGGTGGAAGTTTATAGTAACTCATTATCATGCCAATAATTGTGGGGCAAGGTAACTTTAGAAAGGCCAAATACTACAGTTAACATTAAAGCTATTGATAAATATAATTATGTTAATCCTCCAACACCAGGTATGTCATACAATGGACTGATCCTCCATTCTCCTCTCGGGATCTTGGGCACGCACACACACATACCCTGGTGTGAGTTTAAGCCACTGGGTCCAGGACTTGAACCTCAGTCGAATACATGGAAGTTCAGCAACATAGCCATTATGCTAACTGCTGGTCCCACTATATATATTTCTTTTTGGAAAGGTTTTTGCTATAAGGCACGTGGGCTCACCAGAAAGACAGAGACAGAAAGCGAGAAATCACCCCACTGGGGGGATGGCCACGCTGCAATGCCTTCTCCTCCATTCTCCTCTCGGGATCTTGGGCACGCATGCACACACACCAGGCGTCAGTTTAAGCCACTGGATCTGGGACTTGAACTGTGGTCGATTACATGGGAGTTCAGCGACATAGCCATCATGCCAACTGCTGGTCCCTGAAAAGAGATTTCTATAAAGTTAGATAAGTGATGGAGCTGGCAGGTAGCATGGTGGTTAAGGGCGTTGGAATCCCACATAGCTGAGAGTGGTTCAAGTCCTGGACCTGGTGGCTTGCTTTCTGTCTGTCTCTCTCTCTCCCTCTGTCCCTCTCTCATCAAATTTAAATAAATAAATAAAGTTAAATAAAAATAATTCTTTTAAAAAGGAAAAATGTTGGATAAGAGATGCAAGGCCATAAAAAGAAAAAGAAAAAAATTAGACCATCAAAGATCGTGACTTACAGATTTTTGGATTTCCTTTAATAGGAAACTTCACAATCATTTCCTGGGGATTTTTGCAGATGAAAACAAATGGAGAATCAGATTCTTGACTGATGTCTGGAAACTGCAAAATATAAACATAAAAAGTTCAGACTAGTTGGGACAAACTTTGAATATCAACAAGATCAAAGCATGTCCCAGATTTCACCTCGACATTCTGATGACAGAACTCCTTGTGTCACAGGTAAAGAGGATTATGTTCAACGAGCAAGAACAAACCTTTCCCTTTCGGCAGGTCTTAGTGCAGCATTACACAGTCTACTGCTGGCGTTTCTGACTTCCTACAGTGGGAACACCTTTATTAAAGAAGAATGTCTGACACCTTTCCAGAAGGATCAGAACTGACCGTTCTTTAAACACGGGCAACTGTGAGTCAGGAGATTCGGAGGTCCCCTTTAAGAGCAGTGGGCACCCGCTAGGTTTGACTCAAGTGAAGCACTGGAAGACTTAAGAAAAATAAAATGTTTGTGGAAATTCTGCCAGAAACGTACACAGAGTCCTTCTTTTACTACAGGGAAGGAAGATGATTCATTCTGAAAGGCATGAACATGTAAAAGCTGTTTTGCTGGATGCATTCCAGACCTTCTTAGGGTGAAAAGGTAACTGGTAGAGCAATGAAAATTATTTAGAAACCTTTTTTGGATCTCCTATCACAAAACAAATCTGAGTGAATACTTAAGACTTTTATTCCTTCTGCAAAAAAAGACACAGAAGCTGGAGTAAGACTATGCTGGCTACAAAATCACAATTTAAGGAATAAGTAGGGGCTGGCTGAAAATGCCCTCTGGCAATGCCCAACTGATCTGGAGTTCCATTACTCCCATCTTGGAATGTCTTCTGTTTAGCATGTTTGACAAATATGACTCATAGGCATCTGAGCAAGACTTCATTACCAGAGAAGCCTTTTTCCTAGTAACCTCAACAGTATAAAATTATTTTCCTTTCTTCTTCACCTGCTAAGAGGTGTCTTCTAAAGATTGAAGGTTCTGGAGTAGAAATGGAAGCTTTCAGTAAAACAAGTAGGAAAATTTGAACTTCTCTATAACCAGAAGTATAAACAGTTAAACTTTCCTGATCACTGTCCAGGCTAGTAAGTGATGCTACGGAGAAAACAGAAGGGACTTGTAACAGCTTTGGTCGTGCCCGCTGACCGTGGCTTTTAGTAGGGCAGGTGTGGCCTGCACTTTGATAAAACATCAACTTAAAATGAAGTATCAGCCACAGTCACATTCACAGACGGGGTCAGAATGTTCATTTCACGGTGGAAAAGAGATGGGAGATGGGAGGGTAAAACCTCTTCTTTCCTTATCTCCTAGGCCTCTAGAACTCACAGAAAAGCGGGGCCCAGCTACTACTGCTGGGGATTAGGAGGAAGTAAGCTCTGCATGAGACCCGTGCTGAGGCTGAGGTGTGCTGGCATGAATAAGACCAGAGGCTGCCGTCGAATTCCTTCAACCTGGGCTGGCCTTGCTGCAGGTGGTGAGGTGCTGCACAGAGAAGGCCAGATCCCATGTGGCTGACCGGAGTTCGAATTCTGGCCCTGCTGGGCTTGTGTGAGTGTGCCCAGGATCCTGACATGAGGGAGAACTGAAGGAAAAAGGATTGCACTGTGACCCACTCCATTGGGGGTGCTTTCTCTTTCTCTCCTCTGTGTGTACATACTGTCATGAGAAAAATAAACTTTAAAAAAGAAATCTTTAGACCTAATTCTACAGAGGCCAAAGCAGCAGCCATCATAATAAACATCTCTTCGACTTTCTGGCTCTCCTTTCTCTTTGGCCTAGAGAATTTCAAGGTAAACGGCAATGCTGCTAGGGATTCACAGTTCGGCTTTCCCAAAACCACACGGCCATTTCAGCTACCCTCTTTTTCCACATCAGTAACTCGTAACCCTTTCCCTCTAATGGGTCAATCCCATTACCGCATAAACATTCTGTAACGTGTGCCATAAAACAGAAACTCCTCTCCAGATTCCACAGCCTCCTCCAGCTACTATCCCATTTCTCAGATTTTTACAACAAAATTCATCAAAAGGTTATCAATACTCCCAGCCTTCAATTCCTCTCTGCATTTTTTTCCTAGTAGCCAGAGGGTATGTACACTCACCAGGAGAAACAGACAGAGAGGGAGAGGAGAAAGCACCCCCCCATAGGGCGTGGTCACACGGTAATTCCTTCTCCTCCATTTCGCTATCCTGTCAGGATTTGGGGTATGCATGCACATGGTGGCCAAGGGGCTGGGATTTGAACTGTGGTGGGCCACGTGACATCAGTTCCCTTAAACTGTAGGCTTTGAGGCTATTTTGATTGGATTAAATATAAATAGGCTTTCATTGCTATCTCTCCACCAAAATGATTCTAATAAAGGTCATTATTGACTTCTGCATAGCTAAATTGAATGGTCAAGTCTCAGTTCTCATGTTAATTGATCACGTAGAACCTGACAGAATTCTCCCTCTCTTTCTTTTTCTAGATAGGATCTCACTATGCTATAATCCCCCTGCCTCAGCCTCTCGAGTAGCTGGGACTACAGGTGTACACCACTATATCTGGCTTTCAGGAATTTAACCAGGACTCTTAAGTGGCTTCAGCCTGCAGGGAACCCGTACCCTAGCGTGTGCAACTGCAGCCAGGCTGTCTTTCTTGAACCCATTCCTCACCTGGCTTCCACAGTATCATTCTCTTGCTCATTTTACTGGATGTTCTTAATCTTCTCCACCCTTCTATCACCTCCATCAATCAATCAATCTGTCAATTTATTTATCAGAGGGGCATGTACACAGAACATACCCCAATCCTATTCCTTCCACTTCTTTACCTCATTGGGATTTTGGACACGCATATACATACATGCAAGCATGTTTTCCAAGCTGCCAGGGCTGGGATTTGAACTATGTCTGACCAAGTTGGATCTAGCTTCATATAAACAGTACTTAATCACTACACTATGGGGACAGCTCTTTCATCCTTCTCTAGTATCTACATTTATTATTTTCTCCCATGAAAGAGAGTAATAAACAGACAGGTCGCCTCCACAGGGTAATAATACAGCAATCTACCCTCAGCTTCAGCAACCAGGATCACTGTCATGTGTGCATGTCTGGCATATAAAGGAGACCTCAGGACATGAACCTGGAACCTTCCCATAGGCTTCAATTGCAGAGCATGGGTTTCTGCTATGCTACTGTGGCTGCTCTTTCTCAGCCTTTAAATGATGGAGTGCTGCTGGGACTGGCAGGTGGCGTGGTGAAGGTGCTGGACACTCCCACATAGCTGACCATGGTTCGAATCCCAGACCCGGTGGCTTGCTTTCTCACTTTCCCTCTTTCTCTCTGTGTCTCTCGCTGGTAGGTTAAAAAATGAATGAATAGATTAAAAAAAAAATGTTGGAGTGCTGCAGGTGCCAGCCCTCAGACCTCTTTTCTCTCTACATGAACAACCTTGTTGATTTCTTTCAGTCTCCAAGTGGAAAAAGTTTACCTATGTGGATTTCCCAAGGTCCTAGAAATGCAAATCAAAACCTTAATGAGGGACTAGCCTTGTAGTTCAGTGGTTAAGGGAACAGGAGCTCATAAGACTACCATGGTTTGAAAAACATGGTAGCTTGAAAAACACATTGGGCAGGGCCAGCAGGTGGCATAGTAGTTAAGGTGCTAGACTCACACATGGCTGACCATGGTTCAAGTCTCAGACCTAGCGGCTTGCTTTCTCACTTTCTCTCTCTCTCTTTGTCTCTGGTCAAATTTAAAAATAATAACAACAAACAAAATTAAATAAATAAAAAAATTTTTAAAAGAAAAGCAGGGACTAGCAGTTAGCGTAATGGCTATGTCGCTGGACTCCCACATAGTTGACCGCGGTTTGTGTCCCGGACCCAGTGGCTTAAAACTCACGCTAGGTGCATGTGTGCCCAAGATCCCGAGAGGAGAATGGAGGAGAAGGGATTGCGGCGTGGCCATCCCCCCTGGGGGGTGATTTCTTGCTTTCTATCTTTCTGTCTCTCTCTGTCTGGCGAGCGCACATGCCCTATAGCAAAAACATCTTAAAAAAAAAAAAAGCAACAACAAACAAATTAAATAAATAAATAAATTTAAAAAGAAAAGCAGGGACCAGCAGTTCGCGTAATGACTATGTCGCTGGACTCCCACGTAGTCAACTGTGGTTTACGGCCCGGACCCGGTGGCTTAAAACTCACACCAGGCGCGTGTGCGTGTGTGCTCAAGATCCCGAGAGGAAAATGGAGGAGAAGGGATTGCGGCGTGGCCATCCCCCCTGGGGGGTGATTTCTTGCTTTCTATCTCTCTGTCTCTCTCTGTCTGTCTGGCACGTGCCCTATAGCAAAAACCTCTAAAAAAAAAAAAAAGTTTTAAAAAAAGAAAAGCACATTGGGCGTTGAGGCCAGCAAGTGGTATGGTGGTTAAGGCAAGGCCAGCAGGTGGGATGGTGGGTAAAGCACTGGACTCCCATATGGTCAACCATGGTTTGAGTCCCAGACCTGGCAGTTTGCTTTCTCACTTTCCCTCTCTGTCTCTCTCAGATAATAATAATAACAATAAATAAATAAAAGTAATAATTCTTAAAAAGAACACATTGGGCATGTTTGTGTACACATCCCAAACCCTGACAGGATAGAGAAATAAAGAAGGGTATGCAGTATGACCATACCCCATTGAAGAGTGTTTTCTCCTGTCTCTCTCTGGCAAGCACATGTACCCACTGTTAATTAAAACAACAACAGCCAGAACAGAATGAGATGCCACTTCACACTCACTAGGATGGCTATTATAAAACAAAACAAAGCAAAGTAAATAAATAAAGGATGTGAAGAAATTAAAACCCTAATGCACTGCTGGTGTGAATATAAAATTGTGCAGCCACTGGGGAACAGTTTGATGACTCCTTAACAGGTAAACATAAAACTACCTTATGAACAAGAAATTCCACTTCTAAGTTGCGTATCTAAAAGAATCAAAAGCAGGGACTCCAACAAATATTTGTGTACCACTAATCATAATAGTATCATTTACAATAGTCAACGGTTTCCACAATCCAAGTATCTATAACA